CTGGGGACTTGTCCACCCTAATGCCTTTTAGAATACCCAACACTTCCCCCCTCCTTATGCCGATTTGACCTAGAGTAATCAAACATCTATCCCTAACCTCAACATCCGTCATGTCCCTCTCCTCAGTGAATACCGACGCAAAGTACTCATTAAGAATCTCACTCATTTTCTCTGACTCCTCGCATAACTTCCCTCCTTTTGTCCTTGAGTGAGCCAACCCTTTCTCTAGTTACCCTCTTGTTCCTTATGTACAAATAAAAGGCTTTGGGATTTTCTTTAACCCTGTTTGCTAAAGATATTTCATGACCCCCTTTCGCCCTCTTAATTCCTCATTTCAGATTGGTCCTACTTTCCTGATATTCTTCCAAAGCTTCGTCTGTTTTCAGTCACTTAGACCTTATGTATGCTTTCTTTTTCCTCTTTGCTAGTCTCTCAATTTCACCTGTCATCCATGGTTCTCTAATCCTGCCCTTTCTATCCCTCATTTTCACAGGGACATGTCTGTCCTGCACTCTAATCAACCTCCCTTTAAAAGCCTCCCACATATCAAATGTGGATTTACTCTCAAACAGCTGCTCCCAATCCACTTTCCCCGGTTCCTGGTGAATTTCGCTATAGTTGGCCTTCCCCCAATTTAGCACTCTTCCTTTAGGACCACTCTCGTCTTTGTCCATGAGTATTCTAAAACTTACGGAATTGTGATCACTATTCCCAAAGTAATCCCCTACTGAATCTTCAACCACCTGGCCCGGCTCATTCCCCAACACCAGGTCCAGTATGGCCCCTTCCCGAGTTGGGCTATTTACATACTGCTCTATAAAATTCTCCTGGATGCTCCTTACAAATTCTGCTCCATCTAAACCCCTAACACTAAGTGAATCCCAGTCAATGTTGGGAAAATTAAAATGTCCCATCACCACCACTCTATTGGTCCTACATCTTTCCATAATCTGTCTACATATTTGTACCTCCATCTCACGCTCGCTGTTGGGAGGCCTGTAGTACAGCCCCAACATTGTTACCGCACCCTTCCTATTTCTGAGCTCTGCCAATATTGCCTCACTGCTCGAGTCCTCCATAGTGCCCTCCTTCAGCACAGCTGTGATATCCTCTTTGACTAGTAATGCAACTCCTCCACCCCTTTTACCTCCCTCTCTATCCCGCCGGAAGCATCTTTATCCTGGGATATTTAGTTGCCAATCTTCCCGTTCCCTCAACCTCAGTAATAGCAATAACATCATACTCCCAGGTACTAATCCAAGCCCTAAGTTCATCTGCCTTGCCTCCTACACTTCTCACATTAAAACAAATGCACCTCAGACCACCTGTCCCTCTGCGTTCATCATCTGCTCTCTGCCTACTCTTCCCCTTAGTCACACTGACTTCATTATCTACTTCCTTACAGGCTTCAGTTACGACCTCCTCATTTCGTTCCCATCCCCCTGCCACATTACTTTAAACCCTCCCCAACAGCGTTAGCAAAAGCACCCCCTGGGACATTGGTTCCAGTCCTGCCCAGGTGTAGACCTCCAATTTGTAATAGTCCCACCTCCCCCAGAACCGATCCCAATTTCCTTCGCTGAAGGACACTAGTGAACTAGATAGTTTTCCCAACAATCGACAATGGTTTCATCAGTAGATTTTTAATTCCAGATTATTGTTGAATTCAAATTCCACAATCTGCAGTGGCAGGATTTGAATCCTGGTCCCCAGAACATTAACTGAGTTTCTGGATTAATAGCATAGCGATAATACCATTATGCCATCACTTCACCATCATGTATAAGTAAATCTAATTAAGTCTTCTGAAGCATTGACATTACAGTATAAGCAGAAGGCATTCAACACATTTTCACAGATGAGATTATTAATCAAAATGAGGGCACATAGATTTGCTGGCACCTGCATGCCTAGAAGTGATGAGGATAGGAGATAAAGAGTAGGGCTGATGAGTGATGAGTATGCAGCCAAATTGGCTCGTTGTGGGGGTCCCAGCTTTTCACCAAATGTTTGCTGATGATAAGCTACGAGGTTAAAAGTGCAGATGGGGGGAAGATGCAAAGTAACACTAAGAGATTAGGAGATTGTGCAGATGGAGTTCAATGTGCAGAGGTGCAAGGTCATCCACTTTAGATCTATGAAAAGTAATATTTTCTAAATGGTGAGAAGCTAAGATGATGAGAGAGATTCAGTGGAACAAGCACAGAAATTACTAAAAAATTGCAGTTCAGGTGCAAAACAAAAGTTGAATAGAACCTTGGTCAATATTACAAAAAAATCGTGCAAGCATGAGTCTGGAAGTTTTAGATCTCAGGCAAACCCCAGTTAGAGTACTGGATTGAGTTCTGGGCACCTCAGCTCATTAGACTATTCTGGCTTCAGAGGGGTTACAATGCAGATTCACTTGAATGTAATGGGGATAAAAAGATTAAAATTTTGAGAAAACTTGGCACAGACTAGTCACATTATGTGGAAGAGAATAAATTAAGGGGTGATCTAATTAGTGTTTTGAATGATCAAAAGATCATTGGGTAGATGGATAAAAGAAACTATTTCCTCTTCTGGGGGAGTCCAAGACTCAGGAAAATAAGCTTAAAGTTGGAGCTGGTGTTCACTGGTGGATGTTGTTAGGAAGAACTTCATCAGATAAAAGGTAGTGGAACTCTGGAAATCACCTGGCTAAATTTTGTTGAGACTGCATCAATTGAAAAGTTCAAAATTGATAATGATGAACTTATTCTTAGGTAATTTTATTAAGGTATTCAGAATAAAAGTAGACAGATGGATTTAAGATACGGTTTAGCCATAATCTAACTAAATACCAGAACAGTCTCATGTGTTGAATGGCTTAGTCCTAGAGCCATAGAAAAGTTACAGCACAGAAAGAGGCCAAAATGTCCTAGCTCCCTGAATAACTATTCATCCACTCTAATCCCATTTACCAGCGCCTGGACCATTGCCTCTCAGGTTCCACTACATCAGATGTAGGTCTAGTTTACTTTGAGATAAGCTGACCATTTCCACCAAACTGGGGAGTGAATTCCAGGCACCCATCGCCCTCTGGGTGAACATGCTTTTTATTCGTGGCCTCTCTAATCCTTCCACCTATCACCATAAATCTGTGCTCCTAATAAGTGGGAAGCAGGCCTTTCCTTTCCACTCCATCCAGCTCCTTCAATATTTTGTACAACTCAATTAAATCACCACTCAGTCTCCTCTGGTTCTAAGGAAAACCAACATATCCTCATACCTGTAATTGTAAAGACCTGGGAAGAATCTTGTAAATCTCCTCTGCACTTTCTCTTGAGCAATTATGCCCTTCCTTTAATGTAATGACCAGAACTTCTTTAAAAGTCTCAGCTATAGCTTATCCAGTATCTTACATTGTTCTGGCATTGCATGTTTGCACTTTATCTTGCCCAATGAAGGAAAGCATGCCAGAATGCCGCCTTTACCATCTTAATGACTTGCGGATGTGCATTCCAATGTTTCACATTTTCTTCACTTCTCATAATGCCCTCCTGTTTCTTGTGTATCCCCTTGCTTTGTTTCCCCTCAGCAAATACAGAGCTTTGTACTTCTCCAGCCTGAATTATTTCATTATTTTCCACTGAACCAAACCTCTGATCTTGTCCTGAAGTTGACAGACATCATCTTCGCTATCAAGTACTCAACCAATTATTATGTAGGCTGAAAATTTTCTAATCATGCCTCCCAAATTTTATTCCAAATTATTAATGTATATCACTAACAGCAAGGGACCCAAAACGGAATCTTTTGGAACACCACAGAGTATTGCTTTCATACAGTCACAGAGTCATACAGCATGGAAACATACCCTTCGGTGCCACCAGTCACCAAGAAGTTTTGAGTGTAAGAGTAGTGAAGTCTTACTGCAACTGTACAAGGCGCTCTGAAGGACTGTGAGCAGTTTTGGTTCCCTCGTTTAAGAAAAAGTATCATTTCATTGGAGGCAGTTCAGTGAAGGTTCAGCATCCCCTCAGCATTTACCCTGTCAAGCCCCTTAAGAATCCAATATATTTCAATAAGATCACCTATCATTCTTCTAAACTCCAGTGAGTAGAGTCCCAATCAATATAGCCTTTTGACATGGGAGCAAATCTCTCTTACCAGGGGTTCCACTATACCAGACATCGTCCAATTGATCCTTCTCTGAAATTGCTAATGTGCTTGTGGTAATCTACCAAAATTGTTGGACTCTGGGGTGGTTCCAGCAGATTGGAAAACTGCAAATGTGATGCCACTGTTTTAAAAGAGAGTTAGATAAGAGGCGAGTAACTATAGACCGGTTAGCTTAACTTCTGTAGTGGGGAAAATGCTTGGATCTATCATTAAGGAAGAAATAGTGAGACATCTGGATAGAAATTGTCCTATTGGGCAGTCACAGCTGAAAGGAAGGTCATGTTTAACTAATTTACTGGAATTCTTTGAGTACATTATGAGCATGGTAGACAATGGGAACTGGTGGATGTGGTGTATTTGGATTTCCAGAAGGCATTTGACAAGGTTCTGCACAAAAGGCTGCTGCATGAGATAAATGTGCATGGCATTATATGGAATCTATTAGCATAGATAGAGGATTGGCTAACTAACAGAAAGCAAAGAGTGGGGATAAATGGGTGTTTTTCTGGTTGGAGATCAGTGGCTGGTGGTGTGCCTCAGGAATTAGTGCTGGAACTGCAATTGTTTACAATTTACATAGATGATTTGGAGTTAGGGGCCAAGTATAATGTGTCAAAGTTCGCAGATGACACTAAGATAAGTGATAGAGCAAAATGTGCAGAAGACACTGAAATCTGCAGAGGGATATAGATAGGTTTAGTGAATGGGCAGGGGCCTGGCAGATGGAGTACAATGTTGGTAAATGTGACGTCATCCATTTTGGTAGGAATAGCAAAATGGACAATTTATATAAATGGTGAAAAGTTGCAGCATGCTGCTGTGCAGATCGACCTGGGTGTACTTGTGCACAAATCACAAAATGTTAGCTTACAGGTGCAGCATGTAATTAAGAAGGCAAATGGAATATTGTCCTTCATTCTTAAGGAATGGAGTTTAAAAATAGAGAGGATATGCTGCAGCTGTATAGGGTGCAGGTGAGGCCACACCTGGAGTACTGTGTACAATTTTGGTCTCCTTGCTAAGAAAGGATGTACTGGCCCTGGAGTGGGGGGCGCAGAGGAGATTCATTAGGTTGATTGCAGAGTTGAGAGGGATGGCTTATGAGGAGAGATTGAGTGGACTGAGACTATATTCATTGAATTTTAAACGGATGAGGGGGGATCTTATAGAACCATATAAAATGATGAAGGGAATAGATAGAAGCAGGGACATTGTTTACACTGGCAGGTAAAACTGGAACGATGGGTCATAGCCTCAAAACAAGGGGACCGGGTTTAGGACTGAGCTGAGGAGGAACTTCTTACCCTAAAGGGTTGTAAATCTGTGGAATTCCCTGTCCAGTGAAGCAGCTGAGACTACCTCTTGAAAGTTTTTAAGGCAAAAGATAGATAAATTTTTGAACAGAAAAGGAATTGAGGGTTATGGGTGAATGGGTGGGTAAGTGGAGTGGAGTCCTTGAAAGAGATCAGCCATGATCTTATTGAATGGCAGAGCAGACTCTAGGGGCCAGTTGACCTATTCCTGCTCCTGGTTCTTATATTCTAATGTAAAATCTAATTTATTTCATTAGCAGTTTGATAATTTACTTTCTTTTACTTACAGGATTTTGATGTCTTCCTTAGGGTTGTAAAATCACATTTAACTATTGACCAAAACTGTGTCATTATACTAAACTGTCACAGTGGGAAAGAAAGAACTACTGTCGGCATGGTCATCTGCTTGCTTCTAACCTGGCACATTAATGTAAGTCAGACTTTTCTACATTGCACTTTTAGATTTGTCTGTTTAGCATCTTTTTTCTGTGGATTATTATTTGGAATTACAAGAATTGCCAATGTAATACAAAAGCTGCAACTTTCAGCGTGGCTTGGAATTTTGTCAAACTCTAGCCGATAACTAAGTAAAAACTGAAAGAACTGCGGATGCTGTAAATCAGGAACAAAAACAAAGTTGCTGGAGAAGCTCAGCAGGCCTAGCAGCATCTGTGAAGGAAAAAACAGAGTTAACATTTCGGGTTCTGAGGAAGGGTCACCGGACCTGAAACGTTAACTCTGTTTTCTCCTTCACAGATGCTGTCAGGCCTGCTGAGCTTCTCCAGCAACTTTATTTTTGTTCTATCCAATAACTGTTTTTATTTAGAATTTTCTATTGTTTAATTGTAAAGATCAGTACGTAAGCAGTGCATTTAAACAAAGTAAGAGAAGTAAACCAAAACAACGTCCCTTATTTCGGGCAGTTCTACCACTGGAAGCCACCAAATCAGGGACAAGATTGCTGTTAAAATAGTTTTGTGCTGGGAGACTCCATAAACATCCTCCTCCTTAATAATGGAGGAACCCAGAACATCACTGCAAAAGACAAGTCTGCTGCATTGAGCCATAAGTGCCATGTCCATATGTAGCAAGGCCTGGACTATATCTCAGCTTGGGCTGATCAGAGGCAGATATTATTTGTGCCACCAATATTCCAGGCAATGACCATCTGCAACAAAAGAGAATTTCCCAATTTCCCCTTGACATTCAATGTAATTACCACTAATAAACCACCGTCATTAACAGCTTGGAGATTATGAATGATGAGAAACTAAATAGGATCAGCCATATAAATACTGTGGCTACTAGAACAAATCATAGGCTGGCCATTTTTTGCTGATTAATTCACCTCCTGACTCCCCAAAGCCTGGCCTCTGTCTACAGTACACAGCTCAGGGGTTTGATGGAATATTGTACCCATTACAATTCCAGCAGATTAGTGACTCAGCCGTGAACAACTTCTTGTTAGTCCAATGCCAACACATTGGAAACAGCCTTTCAAAATCTTATTGCCTCTATTTAATCCTGGTATTTAATCTAACTGTTTCAATCATTAATATTTTTTACGTGGACTATGTTTGAAAACTATGGCCTAAATTTTCATAAAGGTGAAGAGCCGCTGCATCATTATGAAAATGCCTCCAGATTTCCAAATCAGGAAGACTAGCCCCAAACACAGTTTGCACATTCTCCCCATGTCTACCTGGGTTTCCTCCAGATGCCCCGATTTCCTCCCACAGTCCAAAGATGTACAGGGTAGGTTGATTGGCCATGCTAAATTGCCCATAGTGCCCAGGGATGTTTGGGTTAGGTGGGTTAGACATGGGAAATTAAGGGAATGGGTCTGGGTGGGATGCTGTTCGGAGGGGTGGTGTGGACTTGTTGGGTCGAATGGCCTGTTTCCACAATATAAGGATTCTATAATTTACAACATGTACTATTTTCTCAGGGCTGATAGCACACAGAAATTGGGCTGACTTTTTAAAGTTTGGTTGTGGTTCACAGAGGCAATTGTACATGATAAAGAGACCCCAAATCAGGCTAGTAAAATGTCCAAAACAACAATTTTGTGCACTTTAGACCAGGTAGTAGAAGTCTAAAGCTACTGGAATTCCTTGGAGAAATCATAGCATCCCCATATTGCAGATAGAGGCTATTAGGCCCAGCAAATCAGCACTGACCCTCCAAAGAGCATTCCACCACTCTATCCTCAGAGCCCCACATTTACCATGGCCAATCTACCTAGCCTGAACACCCCTGGACACTAATGGGCAATTCAGCATGACCAATCCACCTAGTCTGTACATCTTTGAATGGTGGATGGAAACTGGAGCACCTGGCAGAAACCCATCAACCACAGGGAGAACGTGCAAATTTCACATAGACGGTCACCTGAGGCTGGACTCGAACTGGGGTCCCTGGTGCTGTGAGGCAGCAGTGCTGACCACTGAATCACCATGTCATCCTTAAGTGTGATAACCCTTCGGAGAGGTGGGATCCCGTTTTTAGTTATGGTCCTGGAGCACCTTTGTACCCTTTGCCATGTGTGGTCAGGAGAAGTAAGCTTCCCTTTGGGAGAGGGAAGGTGCCCTTAAAGGTTTTTAAAAGGTACAACTGCGTGAAAAGTGTAAAAACTTATTGGAACTGTCAACAGAGTTGGAGAAAGGAACTGTGAACAAAACTATCAATTAAGCTGTCAACAGGGACTGTCAAGGAATTTAAAATAGCTTTCTTTAAAAATGTTTTTTATTTAAAAAACAATTTCACTCTTTTGGGAAATAAAAAAAAAACTATTTTGGTCTGTCCACATAAAGTAGAATTACTGCTCTGTGACAGATTTCAAAAACCTTCACTGTCACTATGGGCTGTTTATCAGGTTACAGTTTGATTGACAACTCTAAAACATTATAGATTCTTTGATGTGGGACAATGAATTCCAATGATTGCTTTATAAAGGATTAAAAGGAGTTAAATGTAGTGAATATATTTTTTTACTTATGAGAGATTTTCTGAAATAGTGAATTATTCAATAGAAGCTTAAGAACATTATTTTATTTCATTTTAGCATGGGTCCTCAGGTCTATCCATGGTAGATACTAGGTGTGTGGTAGCTGGAATGACAATGAATGATGAGGGGAGGCTGGTTTTGGCACTACGTTAGTGTAGAGCCTGTGATGGGGTATGATGCATGGGTCGAGCTGCATAGTACCTCAGTGGCAACTCACCACCTCCCTCCATATCCTGGGAACAGAAATCCAAAGTCCTGGATCAGGTTTGCAGTGCTGGGAATTGCCTCAACTCCATGCTCTTGAGCTAGGAATGTAAATACTGTCCTTTGTGTGTGTGATATCTTTGTCATACCATGTAGTTTTTATTTAATCTAAATTAACCTCAAGTTATATTACTTCTGACCTTAGGGATTTCCAGAACCTTTTGTGGAGGATATGGTAAGTATCCCTGATGCCAAGTATACAAAGGGTGAATTTGAGGTAAGAAGCTGGAATATTCTTGAATATGATTGTTCAGAAAATTGACAATTGAAAGGATAGATATAGAAGTATAATGTGATTAATCGGCCTACAGAAATCAAACTTGTTTTCTGATGTGGCACTGAGTGGCAGTATGTTGATGAAACAAAGAGGAAGCTAAGAATATGTCAGGGACTCGGAGTTAATTGTACAGGAATGTGAAGAGAAGCCATTACGGAATGTTCTTTAGATATGACTGTACAAGTAAGAATGGACCCAGGAGGATCCACTCCCTGCATGTGATCCCAAAGCCAGCAACAGTAATAGACAAGGAGCATGGGTATACATTTAGGCAACAGACTCACAATAGGATGGGGATTCCAGGTCCAAAGGCACCTGGGAATGATTGCCCAAAGTATTCCAAGCCAATAGCACCAACCACAGCGCAGGCTCCTTCCATGCTCCATTGGAAACATAGAATTCTTCCAGGAAGTCAACATGGCAACCCCCTGCCCCCATTACTGTCAAAGAAAAGGCTCACTTTCACATTGCAGATTCATATCTTTACATAATTTACAGTTCGGTGTGTGAATATGGCAGCTGCAAGGCATTATTTTTCAGTGCTAGCTATGCAATGTACTTGTGAAATGGAAAACTTTGGTGCCGCTTTTAAATTCCTTTATCTGACATGACAAGGAGGCAATTAATGTGCACAATCTAATGGTCATGATTTCTTGAGTCCATAATTTGTAGTGCGCACTCTTGGACAATGAAAGCTCTGCTGAGTGCAAATTGAAGCCAGAGGACTGACAATACTGAATCAGTGCGTTATTTGCAATTTACGGTGAATTATTGCAATTGGCCCTGGAAAGGCCTCAAATTCTAAACCAAGGAACAAAAAGAACGTTGCTGGAAAAGCTCAGTAGGTCTGGCAGTATCTGTGAAGGAGAAAACAGAGTTAACGTTTCGGGTCCGGTGACCCTTCCTCAGGACTGATGGTGGCTGGGAAAACGTCAGTTTATATGCAGAAAAAGGGAAGTGGTTGTTTCACTGGACCCAAAGTTTCATTCCACCCCGAAGAGAAAAACAGTAACTTAACTGCAACTTTGCATGCAGCATCAGTCATTTTGTGAAGATATTGTGTGGTTGACATTTGATCTATCATGGCAATGTTCCAACTTTGTTTCATTGTCTGTGACTTGTTGCCTCTGCTTGGGATTTCCTACATCCTTCATATTCCTCTCGGTTTTCCTGTCCTGGAGACATTGCAACTTCCCCCATTTTCATTGAGCTCCTTTAAATATCTATCAATGTAGTCAATTACCCCAAGAGCCCATGTCTTCAGAAGTTACCAACTCCTTATTGGCCTTACACTCTCCCTTTGTAGAGGCCGGAGTTCCTGTGACCTATTTGAACCCCCTCCCATTTGCAGCTCCTAGTCCACCTCAATTCACAATGAGATTCAGTCCAACTACATCCAATTGTACTTTCTTCAGTGACCCAGTACTGTAAAGTCTGTCCTTGAGTTGACATTATCTACTGTTCCCAGGGCTTGACGGACTGTCCCCGGATAAAACTCCTGACTATTATTGACCAAATTCCCCGGACTGACTGTGGCCAAACCCCCAGACTGATGTCTCCACTGCATCCTCATCGACCTATCTGTAATCCCCAGACTGGTTACACTTGACTTGCAGGACAGACCAAGGCCCATTCCCCTGGTCTGCAAGGATATGGATGCCTGTAGTCTGGTCGGACCAAGTGCTTGACTGGCCAGGACCAACCTCCGGGACATGAAATAGACAAGTGTTTTGAGTGCAAGTGGTTTTACTCCCATGATTGCATGTCATCTGCCTTCACAGCACAAAGGGCTACCCCTCTTTCACTTTCAGACAGGTAATTTTCCATTGAAACACATGTACAATGTGTTTGCCATGTAGACTGCTGGCACATGCTACAGCTGTGATGTTGACATGGTAGTGTACCTCACAGAGACATGCCCATCTCCTTCACAGTTTCTTACTCCCAACCATGACAACCTGCCTCTCCCTCTGTGGTAAAAATCAATACAGACCACAGAGGCTGGCAACCCGCAACTGAGCACTGATGACCTTTGTGCTCTAAAAGACAATGTGACCCATGTAGATTCTGGCAGCCCCTAAGTCACGGCTGAAGTCAGTGAGTGCCATTACTCATGCCAGACCAGGCTCTCACTCCGGAGGATGTTTTGAACAATTCCATGTGAGATTACTGTATATCTGAAACATCATATTTTACAGCTGCCTGATCCAACTTGTGCCCTACCAATTGCTACAGATCTCAAGCAGCCATTTAGATCAATGGGAATCTTAAAGCTGGATAAAATGTGGACTATGTCTAATCTTGTTAGCCTTCTTGCAACACGCTTATTAAGAAAGAAAAAGTGCAGTTATGATAAAAGATAAATAAGTTGGCTGTATTACAAACCAGTGACTACGTAAATAAAACAAAAAAAAAAAATGGATTCAGGATGAGTCTCAAAGGCAAAAATAAATCTGAAAATATATGATATTGCGTTGAATGACCTCTCCTGAATGCTTACTTGCCATGTATGATGGTTTGTGTAAGTAGAGGAAAGATAATATTTAATGATTGGGTCAACTCTAAAATGGTCATATGGTAAGTACAAATCACCAAACCGACAGCATGCCCATGATTGGCTGATATGGGTACAGACAGTGGAAGAGATTTGTTATTAGTGCAAAGTTAGAAAATCATTCTCATGTTTCATTTTTGATTTGTATCTCTTTTTTTTATTCATTGATGGGATGTGGGCATCACAGGCTAGGCCAGCATTTATTGCCCATCCCTAACTGCCCGATGGGCAATCAAGAGTTAACCACATTGCTGGGGGTCTGGAGTCACATGTAGGCCAGATCAGGTAAGGATGGCAGTTTTCTTCCCTAAAGGACATTAGTGAACCAGATAGATTTTTCCTAACAATCAACAATGGATTCATGGTCAGCATTAGACTCTTAATTCTGGATTTTTTGAAAAATCGGATTCAAATTCTACCATCTGCTGTAGCAGGATTTGAACCCAGGCCCCCAGGACATTTTCTGAGTATCTGGATTAACAGTCCAGTGATAATGCCATTAACCCATCTCCTCCCCTTATCTATGCCTATTTTTCCCATAGGCTATTCTTAACCTGGTCCGTCTTCTTCCAAATGGTAGTGAGATGAAGAAGGAGGTGGATAGAGCTCTCGATGCAGTGAGTGATTCAATGACTCCCATGATGCATCACTTAAGAGAGCTTATCATCAACACATGCAAAAAGGTAACACTTTATCTATCCTTTCTGTATTCCAAATGGGGCTGTTACTCTCTACCAACATTGAATTAATATCCTTTATTTGTTTACTTTTCATTTTCTGTCATGTTAACAATTTATTAAATGAACACATTTGAGTTGAATCCCACTTCTTTTACCTGATTTTTGGCTTCATTTGGAAAGGGGCCTAACTCCTGATTCCTAAAGTGCTTGCTTGTTTCGGGTGATAGTCCCTTTTCAGCATTGAAATTGAACCCTCAAAATAACAGGGCCTCATTGTGCATCTGGAGTAGATGGTTGACCCCAGAACCCTCCTGTCAGTCAATCAAAAGTTAAAATGGCTACCTCATGACAACATTTTCTGGTTATCTATAGCTGTGGTGAAATCAGTCCCCTCATCAAAGTCATGAATGTAGATTGTAAATAGCTGAGGCCCAAATACTGATCCTTGTTGTATCCCTTGTGTACAACTTTTTGAATTATTTTTGAAAATCCAAATCCTGTAGTATTCTTCAAATCCTACTTATCCATCCTACTGATTATGTCTTTAGAAAACTAACAGCTTTTTCTAGCATGTTTTCCCTTTCATGAATTCAAGTTGACTTTGCTTAGTTATTTTATGTTTTTCTCAGTGCCCTGTTACAATGCCCTAATAATTAATATTAGCATTTTAATTACACCTCATGCTTGGTTAACTGCTCAATAGTTTCCTGGTTTCTCTTTTTGTTCTTTCTCAAATAAGACGATGATGTTTGCTGTCTGAAAAAACCACTGCAATCACAATCCCTAATAGCAAAATAACATCCAATAATTAAACTGTTGTGCAACAACAAAGAACCCAACATTTCAGCTGTCAATAGTATTTGACAGAGTTTATGAAGGGCGATCACTGTAATGTCCTCTGATCCTGCTATCCTGTGATAATATTATCTGTGCTGCTCTAATGCTCCAATCTTCATCTTCAGTTTAATGCCTTTTGCTATCCTAAACTCTGAACATCTCTACGTAAACCTCTTTATTTCTCCCTCTCTCTTCTCTTTCCCTTTGATAAGCTCCTTAACTGCCCTAATGTCTGCTTTTTGACTTGGTGTCAAATTTTGTTTGTTAATTTTCCTGTAAAGCACTTTGGCACTTATGTTTAAAGCCCTAATATAAATAAGCTTTAATTGTTAGTGTGTGACATGTCCACTGAACACTCTTTGTTGGAGTGCAGTGTGTGAAGCAGGAAACTGTGGGTCCTAGGGCTGTTTGCCATTATATTTCTTACACCTCAACAGTTTTAAATCAGGCCCATTCAAAGTTCGAACCGCATCCTCTGAAAGGCCAGGCAATTAAAAAGATAAACATTTTCTAAAACCGATGTAAATAACACCGAATGCTGTTTCATTTCCTTTGCCTCTTGATAATCTGAAGAAATATCCAGGCATTGACTAAACCCAATCACAAATCCACTGCTAAATGTTAAAATGTTCTAATTAGTCCAGGAAGTGTGTTTGCTTTACCACACTAGACGAGGCACTGTAGTTTCTTACACTTGGTTGGGGTAGGGGGTGGGGCATGGGAGTAGTGGGGGAAGGAACTCGTACAGTGCCATGAGCTGGCATGTGCATACAACAGGAGTGGAAAACAATCAAAGGGAAGGTGTGATAGGGTGAAAGGCAGGAGAGATTGAAAGACAAAGTGGTTTAAGCTACAAGTTCAAAGATAGTGGATATGAGATTGGTAAAGAAATGAAAGATGTGGCTAGAGGAAATATGACTGACAGGATCCTGAAAGCAAAGACAGGGAAAACAAGAAAGAAACAGTAGTATCAGCAAACAAAAAGGCAACAATCAGCAGGAGCAGAGGCTCCAATCAAAAGTTGTTAAATGCAGAGCACCTAATTGAATGAAGTGGTGCTGTTCCTCAATTTTCAACTTTTGCTGTTTTCTCGTTTCTGTAAAGTTAGAGTAATTTCTATGGGAATTTATGTTGCTTTCTCCTCCTCTTCCCTGAATGTACTGGATGCTGTTAAAGAATCCTGACGCCCAGTACAGTCGTCAAGCGTAGGTGGGACCCACAGAGGTGTTTGACCCAGGGCTGTAGCGTGCAATGCTCTGGAGAAGGAACATTAGCCCACCATGAAATCAACTATTACTGCGGTAGAGTAAGTAACAAAGCAGATATAGAGTGTGTAGGGACTACAAGCCAGAGAATGTCAAGCTTCAACTGTACAACACTTTAGATACAGTATCCAGTCCTGGCTGTGGAAACACAGGAAGACATTCAAGGCATGAATGCAGTTCCGGGAAAAGCCTTGAGATTACTCCAATAATACATTTGCATCTTCACAAGGAATTGAGTATCATGTGAGGAAGGCAACTGAAGAGGATGACTGAGAGTTAGTGTGGTACTAAAATGTCATTCTTAGGTCAATACTGATACTCTGAATTAGAAGGTTGTATTTCCCACTCCAGAAACTTGAACACATCAGCCCCAAATAACACCTCAGCGCAATACTGAGGGACAACTGCAGCACCTGACGCACTGTCCTCCAGATGAGGTGTTACAAACTGATGCCACATCTGCCCTTTCAAGTGGATGTAGAAATCCCTCGACAATATTTCAAGGAAGGGCAGAGAAGTTCTTCCCAGTGCCTTGGCCAATATCTACACTTCAACTGATTTCAGCTGAAAGAAAATTTTGCCTCTATCATGCTGGCTGAAATTAGATATCTACAAATGTTTTGCCTGTCTCCTATTTTACATGCTGCAGAGTGATTTGGGTGTCCTAGTCAGTCATGAAAGGCTTTGTATAGACAAAATCACCTCCTTATTTCTTCAAAAGTGCTGCTTGATTCTTTATTTTAACGCCCAAGAAAATTTGAAGGGGGAATGTTGTGTTCCCAAAAGCAAGTGGTTAACAAGGAGTTTGCAAGGGAAATTATTGGAGAATAATTGAAGATGGATGTTAAATGTAGCCACAACAATCAGCTCAAAGAATGAATGGTTGTACATAGACTCTGGATGGAGCTGGGCTGTGTGGTGTTTTCAAGCTTTCGATTTTCTTATGGTCATAGCAAAGAATGGAGAAAGTTAGCTTTTCAGCTGTGAAGGGATGTGACCATCAGAAAGCTTTAAAGTAATCAAAGATGTATAAAAAATAAACCAAGAACAGCACATCAAACTAAATTTTGAAGCTCAGAAAGGGGGAACCCAGGTGGAATTAATAAAAAGACAAATTTGACTGAGATGAGGATTTCTTCTTCTCATTATAAATGGTTAATATATAGATTGGATTTATGGTGAGGTTGCAAAAATAAAAGCCATTGATTATTCTGATGCCATTAAGAGCTGTACTATAGAACGAGTTTTTATGGATAGACTACAATGGGATGAATGGGCTTTTGTACTTTATAGGCATCTTCACAGCATTCTCATAATATGAAGAATACTGATTGTAATAAAGAACTCAGTTTTTCACAATGTGCAAGATTATTTACCCAATTTCATTCACGTTGAACTTTGTTTATGGGGTGCAGAGACTTACGAATCCTGAACAAATTAATTGTTAATCTCACTCTATGATGCAGGATATTTTGAAGTGGTACAAAGGATGCGGTGATTTCAGCATTGCCTTTTGGAGTTAGTTTACACAGTGATGATCATTTAATTTACAAGGAATTAGCTTTAGTCTGAACTGTCTGAAAGAAATCTTCATAAAATTGTGTAAAGCTTTTCACAATTCAACATTCCCAGCCACAGGTCCCATTCATTGGCTAGACAAGTTAGAGGAATTATGTGAACAATCCGAAATAAAGGCTAGAAGAAGTGTTAGATATGCGGTATATAAGGTTATGTCGGGGATATATTTATGTTGAGCCATTGAATGAAAACCATTACCCACATTATCCCTTAACCTTTAACCTTAAAATGCAAATTCCTAAATATTCAAATTAATTTTGCTGTAATTTCTGATTTGTTGAACTAATCTAGAAATTGAATTGGCTCCAAGGACACTGGGCTAGAAATTAATTAATCACCTTTTTTATATTTTAACAAAAACATTGTATCAATATGGGTGGATAACATCCCTATGACTATGGGAAAAATATGACCCTGAAAAAAGGACCTGCATTTCCCCATCTTGTAGTTAAACGTGTCTTTTTGACTTTTTTTTTTCATTTATTTGCCTACATTATGATGTACACAATTTCATGGAAAACAATTTAAATATTTGGAATGATAGTAAAATAACCTTCATTACACAGTCATAAAAAGAAATCCTCCAACTATTCTCAAATTGATTATCAGCTGGTATTAGAAAGAAAAATTTGTCTTTCTATAGCAATATTCATGATCTCAGGGCATGCCAAAGTGCTTTGCAATCAATGAAGCTTTGTTAAATTTCAATCTCTAAATGTAGAAAATTTGGTGGCCAATTTGCACAAAGATTCCACTAACAGCATTAAAAAAAAAGTTCTTCATGGGATTGGGCATCTCTGGCTAGAAAACATTTATGGTGTGGAAGAGGTGCTGATGAGCTCCTTCATGAACTGCCGGTCCTCGGGTGTAGGTACATCCATAGTGCTGTCAAGAAGGGAATTCTAGGATTTTGACCCAGCAACAGCAAAGGAACGGTGATATAGTTCCAAGTCAGGGTGGTGCTTGGCTTGGAAGAGAACTTGCAGGTGGTGGTCAACCTTTCCCCTAAGTTGCACAGCTACGCATGTAGCTGCTCCAAGTTTCCATGCATGGTGATTGACATTGGCACACTGGTCCCTGGCATCTTTGCTGTCCATGGACCTTGGAGGCCCATGTAGCTGGAAAGATAATTAGAGGGAGCACTGGTTGTAATGATCTCATTCGTCTCTGCCCTTGCCTTTCTGAGCGGTAAAGGTCGTGGGCTTGGAAGATGCTGTCAAAGGAGGCATGGTGAATTATGATAATGGCCAGATAATCTGATTTAGTGATATTGAAAGAGGGGGATAAATATTGACATTTCTATTTCAACTGAAGCCATGGAAT